GGGCTTAAAGCCACGAATAAATGTCAGTATGTCATTGGGCACAACACCCTCTGTTTTCCAAGCAGAGGTGATGGCGATACTGGTAGGGGCTCAGAACCTGCTGGTATACAAAAATAGGAAGATAACTATCTTAAGTGATAGTCAAGCGGCTTTGAAAGCACTCTGTAACGATCAGGTGAATTCAAAGCTGGTCCTCGAATGCAGGGAAACTTTAGAATCACTATCGAGGTTCAACAAAGTTACACTAGCGTGGGTACCGGGACACAACGGTGTCACTGGAAATGAGAATGCTGACTTTCTAGCCAGGAAAGGAGCAGAGAACACCTATGTTGGACCAGAACCAGTGGTAGGGCTCACTGAGCAATCGCTCAAAGCGTTACCCAAGAATTGGTGCAGAGAACAACACAGGAAAATGTGGAAGTACTTGGTAGTACATAGACGATCTAAAATGTTTATCAAGACCCCTGGTTTATTGCTGGGTGATCTTAATAGCATGACTAGACATCAAATAAGCACCCTGACTGGTCTACTGACAGGACATGGTCACCTGCTTAAGCATCTTAACGCAATGGGGGTATCGGAATCACCATTGTGCAGGAAGTGTGGAGTAGAAGAGGAAGACTCATTTCACATCATGTGCGAATGTGAAGCCTTGTCCACACTAAGATCAAACTACTTGAATAAACCATTTCCTGAAAAAGAGGATATTAAAAACCTAAAACCCAGAGAGATACTTAATTTCGCCAGAAAGACAGGACTCTTTGGTCATCTTTAGAGGTGACTTTATGGTTGGTAATGTATTAACACTTTGGTGATAACACTTAGGTAGGTGGGTAAACCGAATCGTGACAATTCGGTATGAGGTGCGCACAATGGACCAACAGGTCTAAGTGCATGGGCATTATGTCCACCTCAATAATAACTAAAACTAAAACTAAAATCCCATGTGTATTATACATGTATATTAACTCAAAATTTTGAAACTTTTAATGTTTATATCTAATAAGCTAATAAAGTTATATTAAAAATTCAAATGCTATTTACTATTAAATTAAAAACTCAAACATTGTTAAAAATTTAAGAATAATGTGTAACTAAAGATAATAAAAAAAAAAAAAATGTTTAAATTATTATTATTCTGCAAGTAATAGAGTGGGTTATGATAAAAAAATCACCCTGTATATTATAATAGTTAAATATAGCATGAAATTGATATTTAATAATTATGTAAAGTAATTTTTATGGAGAAATTGTAAAAAATTATTAAGTAAATGTTACTTTACATTTTTAAAAAGTTATAGCAATTTAAAGTTAAAAAATTAAAATATGAAATCGAAAATTTTAACACCAAAATTTACACATAGAAGATAAATTTTTTTGTTTTGAACTTATAGTACATAATATAAACTTAAGTTGAAAAAGTAAAATTTTTGTGTAGAAGTTGCTATTTTGAACCCCCCTTGTAAATATGTGGTAAAGAGTAAAATGTCCAAAACAATGTATCAAATGATAGGAAAATTCATAAGACTTGATATAAAAAAAATTATGTTGATTTAAAATATTTTCAAAAAGTTATGGCAGTTTTAAGAAAAAAAGTTAAAAAAAGTCGAAATTTATTAATTTTAAATATCACAATATTTTTGAGCATTTTCCTATTTACAGAAAACGAGGGAATTTTTAAAAAATTTTAAGGGTAATGTCTTCAACTAGATACGATTTTTGATCTTTTGACGTGTCATTGAAAGAAATCGGTTCTGTGAGAGCTGAGAAAAAGTGGTAACAGACCAGTGGCGCACCCGGGGGAGGGGGGGCTTTGGGGCTAAAGCCCCCCCCAAAAATATTTTTTGAATTAAATTATAAATTATTATAGCACATTGTCACAAATATAGTATTAAAATGATTTTTTTTCCAAATTTTATTATTATGTTAGATACATATAAATAGTTCAATAATACGTAATAAGGTTTGTGTTAATCGCCGAGCGCTTATTTTGTTGAAATTATTTTTAGATTTATTGGTATTAGCGTATTCTAATTTCTAAGAACTAGTCAGCAGCGATTACGTTAGATAGACAGCCGTCGATTTGATCATTAACTACAATAACAATATTTATCATAATTGTAGACTATTTGACGCGTGAAATTTCGTTTGTTTAATTCAGTCCGTTTGATTTTGTCGTTGTGAACGTTGTATTGAATACGTATTTACTACTTTGAGTAAAAATCTGCAAAATGAGTCAAAAACGAAGCAAACCCGTTGGTACTTTACTTAACTTTATCAGTATTAAACCGAAAATTCCAAAAATTAATGATTTGCCCGATCCTCAAGAAATATTTGCTTCGCCGTCACAAACATCTAATACTACTAGTAATTATCAACATTTTTCTTCTTATGATATATCATTATTTGTCGATAAAAAACTCAACAACCAAGAAAAAATTCAAGTTTTGCAAAATGTTTGGGTCCCGAATAATAATTTTAATTTTCCAATTCAACAAATTGGTAACCAAAGTAGAAAATTCAATATACTTTGGTTAACTAAATACAAATGGCTAACATATTCAAAAATTGAAGATAGTGCTTTTTGTAAAGTTTGCGTATTATTTTCACCTTCTATGGCGGGTTACAGTTCCAATCAATCACTTCATACATTTGTTAAAAAGGGATTCAATAATTGGAAAAAGGGCTTAGAAAAATTTGAAAAACACGGTACTTTAAATTATCACAAGGAAGCTAATTTAAAAGCAGATAATTTTATGGATGTCATGTCAGGAAAAATTTTATCGATTGATAAACAAATCGATAAAGCTCATCACCATCAGGCTTTAGAAAATCAAGAAAAACTGAAACCGATAATAAAAACGATTATTTTGTGTGGAAGACAATGTCTGCCACTTGGGGCACATCGAGATTACGGAACGTTTAACGTAGAACAAGAACCTGAGTGCAACGAAGGTAATTTTCGAGCGTTGCTTAGGGCACGAATTGATTCTGGGGACAAAAATTTAAAACAACATTTAATGACTTGCGGAAAAAATTCAACGTATATTAGTTGGAATATTCAGAACCAAATAATTGATGCTTGTGATGAAATTATTTTATCTAAACTTGTAACTAAAGTTAATAGTGCTAAATGTTTTGCCGTACTCGCTGACGAAACGTCTGATATTTCCTCAATCGAACAATTCTCATTGTGTGTAAGATATATTGAGTGTATCGATGAAAACAATTTTAAAATAGTTGAACAATTTTTAAAATTTGTACCAGTAGAATCAACTTCGGGTCAAAATTTAGCAGATGTACTTTTAACAACATTAAATGCATGTGGTATCAACATAAATTATTTACGCGGACAAGGCTACGATGGAGCTGCAGCAATGAGTGGCAGATTTAAAGGTGTCCAAGCATGTATAACAGAAAAATATCCAACTGCACTCTATGTTCATTGTGTTTCACACAGCTTAAATTTGGCTTTATCTAATGCTGTTGATGTAATATCTATTAGGAATAGTTTTGGCGTAATAGAAAAAGTATACACGTTTTTTAATACACCAAAACGTCAAATTATTTTAAAAAATCAAATTCAAATTTTAGCTCCTGATATCAATAAAACTAAATTAGTGCAGTTTTGTCCAACTAGATGGGTTGAACGACACGATTCAATAATAGTATTCAATCAATTTTTATTACCTGTAGTGGCGGCTTTAGAAGAAATTCAATCGTGGAACTGTAAGGACTCATCATCTGGTGCATTTTTACTTTTAAATAGTATTCGCCAATCTACATTTATAATTTCATTACTTTGTTCAGAGAAATTATTAGCTTATACTTTACCAATAAGTAAAGTACTTCAAACGACAGATATAGATCTTTCTACTGCAGTTAACCAAGTAGGAAGTGTAGTGTCTATTCTCCATCGGCTTAGAAGTAACGCAGAAAATGAATTTAAGCTTTTATTTCTAGAAGCACAACAAATTGCCTCTAATTTAGACTTTACTCTATCCACACCTAGACTAACGAAACACCAAACTAAACGATCTAATGCACCATCAGAAAATATTGAAGAATACTATAGACGTTCAATTTTTGTTCCATGGATTGATTCGTTTCTTAATAGTCTGTCTGATCGATTTTTAAAACACAAAAATCTTCTCACAAGTTTTAAATGTCTTTTACCTACCGGACATACTCCAACCGATGAACAAATTTCAAGTTTTAAAAATCTTTTTGAATTTTATGAAAAAGATATGCAACATATTAGTTTTTCAGTCGCAAAGGCCGAATTCGAATTGTGGTACGAAAAATTCAAAAATGGTTGCTATACTTTACCGCTAAACGCAATCGATGGTTTAAATTTATGTGATTTAAAAGTATTTGAATCAGTATTTATACTTTTGAAAATATTTGCAACGTTACCAGTAAGTACAAGTACGGCTGAGAGATCATTTTCCACGCTACGGCGAATCAAAACCTACCTCAGAAATACTATGGGACAGTCACGATTAAATGGACTGGCAAATCTTCACATACATCGAGAAATACAAATTAAAGAATCCGAAGTATTAGAAGTTCTATCTGAAAAGGGACCCAGAAAAATTAAATTTTAAACTAATTTGTCATAATATTTTATTGAAAATATTAAAAACAGTATACTATATAATTTGTGGTAATAATAATAATAAAAATGTTTAAAAATGAGTAGTAATTGCTTTCCATTGTGTGTAAGGAAAATGTTTTAGCCCCCCCCAAAAAAAAATCCTGGGTGCGCGCCTGTAACAGACACACAAAAAAAAAAAATACATCATAGTTAAACTAATACCTTCTCAGCTTCGCATCGAAACTAAAAATGAACCAAAATTTTCAACGGTGACATTAAGTGGTATTTAAGCTAGGAGATCAGGACAACCAATAGTATTTTTAATTGTTTTTAAAATAAATTAAATCTCATTATTGAATATTCTCTTAGATAAAGTATCCATTATTGTATCTTATGTACTTACTAGTTTCTTGAGAAGCCGTATTGTCAACTAAACAATAAAAAAAAACATTTAATTAACGATATTCAAAAATATGTAGGTGGGTTATATATTTTTTATCTAAATAACAAAAAAATTAAAGCAAAAAATTTTTATATATTCAGAGAATGACATCAAAACTATCCGTAAACATTTTTAGAGCCTTAGTAATATCATCGTCATAAATGAATAAGTCTTAAAGTCATGTAAAAATGTGTGTTTTTATACATAGAATTTCTCAATTGTCCATAGAAATTGAAAAAAAGTATTACATAAAGTTTAAAGTTCTTTAGTTAAATGCTTACTCGTAACTACATAATTGTCATCTAAACAAGTTCGAATATTAACACAGAATAGGCTAAGTTTAAACCTATTCTATATACATAGTTTTAATAGATATGATATATTAATTTATATCCTAAAACAATACTTATAAAATATAAATATGTTATTTTGTAATAACTTATTTTTATGTAGGAAAAATTAGCCTGTAATATGATTTAAAGTTGCAGTTCAATTAATAAAATGAACATCTATGTTTTCACTATTAGAAATTGGTTGTCATTTTGTTAGTTTTTAAGAAAAAAATGTATAATAGCAATTATTAAACTTAAAGCCACATTAAGATCTAAATAACAAATTCTATGTATATTAATATAATTTTACCCTTCTTACCAATATTATCTCTAGTCGCATTAATATCTAAATAATAAATAAGTTAGAATAATACACTTTTAGTAATATCTAGTATTTAGTAATATAACAAACAATTATTTACTTCTTATAGCTTGGGTTAAGTCATTTACTAAAAAATAATAATGTGGTAATTTTATATGTACGATCTCATAGGTTCTACATTTTAAATAAATAATTTTAACTTAAGTTAAATATTTACTTAAGTCTGGAGAATTGTTTTCTAAATAAGTACAATAAAACACTGAATTAGTTATGTTTAAATCTATTCTGAATACTAAGATAGATCGTAAGCATTGTAATAAATAATAAAAACGACAAGACAATTCTTTTAAAAAATAAAATTTATATTTTCAAACTTTATATTTTTTAATTTTCGAACTTCAAGTCATAATAAGATCTAAATAACAAATTCTATGTGAATTAAAAACATTTTCCCCTCTTACCATTATTATCCGTAGTCGTATTGCTATCTAAATAATAAAATATTATTAGTATTATTCAGTGCCTATAAATCCATTAAATTATCATTTATTTCCTATATCTTCGCTCAACTCATTAGCTAAATAAATAAATTTTTTGAAAAATTTTATTTTGTATGAACTTATATGAATGAACTTTTTTGATATCCCAAATAATACTCCCTAAAAAGTAATTTTTATACGGAGATTTCTATATATTATTAAACCGATTATAAAATACATCAAAACTACACCCAAAGAAAAACCTCAATCAAAATTGAAAGAGAAATTTTATCAAGGGTTTATGATAATGTTTTATTAATACGAACAAAATAACTATTCTTATAAATAATTATTGTTCAAGACAAGAAAAAAAATATCATATTGATAAATATATCATTGATTCAATAGTAATGATATATTTATCAAATTGAACAATGAATTTATTATATAGATCGAGGTTTTTCTCTGGGTGTATGCTAGTGATTATAAATCAATTAAATTATTACTTACTCCTTATAGCTTCACTCAAATTATCAGCTAAAATCAAAACATTTTATGTTTTTTTTACAAACTTATATGTTCAAAATTTTTTTAATCCAAAAAAAAAATGTTTATTCTAGTTTAATCAATAACCACCAAAAATTTGAAAAACTTCATTTAATTAAAATTTTTTATAAAATACTTTAAAACTATTCTACTATAAAAAAGCATATTCAAATTTTTTTTTTTTTCATTTCAAAGTTACTATAACTTTATTTTTAAATCTCTAGTTCTAATAAAATTTTAACCAAGTAAACTTAAAACAATAAACTTTCCTGTTTCTTATTTATTGTTAATTAACTGACATACTTAGAAATAAATGATGATTTATAATAACTCTACAATTAAAGCATCGAAGGAAAAATTTATTTACATTTGTGTTTCGATTGAATTAAATACGCTTAGCGTTCAATAAAAATACATAATTTTTTTGTTTAGATTGATAAAATACTAGTAGTAATTTCTATACACCATATAATATATACTATAATAACATCCTGTGGTATAAATCAATAAAAATATTATTTAATTCTCAAAATTGTAAGCACTTCAATAGCTAAAAAAAAAAAAATTTTATGTTTAATTTTTTTTGTACAATCTTATATGAATGAAATTTTTTTCATACTCCATCACCACTCTCCCCAATAAGTAAATTTGTACAGAGATTTGTGTATATCATTAAGGTTATAGACTGTCAGACATTATCAAAAAATTAACATACATCAGTATGATATATACACCAATATTTAATATACAATCAGTACAATTTTGACAAGTATTGAAAAATTGTTCAAAAATAAAACATTTTTATCATTATTTATTAATATTATCTAGAAGATATTACTTCAAAGATATTAATTAATCCATAAATAGATTCATCTTAAATGGCATTTAATAATATAGATTTTTATATAGTAAAATTCTCATTTTGTAGTTTACAATTTACATTTTTTTAGTCAAGCACTTACGTGTTTCTTGAGAAGTCATATTGACATCTAAATAAAAGTATAAACCTTGAATTAGCGTTGTTCAATCATATCCTATACAGGGTGATCGAAATCTGGTAAGACACTTATTTTATCAGAAACTATTGAGAATTTAAAATTTTTGTAAAAAGAAAAATTAATAAAATTATAAAACTCTACAATAATATGAAGTTAAATCAATTTTTTTTTTATCTCTTCATGGATACAAATGTTTATTTATAATTTTTTTAAATGGAAAGCACTATTTTTGATTTGATTATATGATAGAAAAAAAAAATTACAAACAATTTTGTTCTTATAATTTTTTTTATCCGAACAACCGTTTACGTTTTATAATTATTTAAAGATTTTGACTTCCAGAATAAATATTGTCATTTATTACGTTTCATAATATTGGTGGCAGTGCAACCGGTATTTTTGTGACATCCTTTAGTCTTACAAAACCATAGACTTAGCTATTATTAATACACTGAAAACACAATTTTAATCTATTATTATTATCGCTCATTTAGTGCGTAGTAAATTTTTATAGCTAATTTACATGTCATAATTTGATCAATAAAATTTGATTTATGCAATATCAAATAAAAATAATAACTTCTGTATTTAATACAGTAAAATGACAATAGAAATTTGGCCTAAAATCACTTAACTTTAACAAGCTGTAACGGACGAATGATTAATTGGATAAAAAAAATTATAAGAACAAAATTGTTTGTAATTTTTTTTTTCTATCGTATTATGAAGTTAAAAATAAGGGTTCCTATTTAAGAAAATTATAAATAAACATTTTTATCTCTGAAGAGATAAAAAAAAATTATTTTACTTCATATTATTGTAGAGTTTTATAATTCTATTAATTTTTCTTTTTACAAAAATGTTAAATTCTCAATTGTTTCTGAGAAAATGGGTGTCTTACCAGATTTCAATCACCCTGTATATGTTAATTCTATTTTTCATGATTAAACATATGTATCCATTGTTTATTGTCAGTTATAACTTAAAAACAGATATGCTTAAACTATAGTAGTTTTAAAGTACAATCTGGACAAAAATATTTTTACTAATTTACAACGGATATATGAACTACATTTACCCAAATTTATTTGTTTACAAATAACTGTCCAATTAATATTTATAATTACTTCTATCATTTGAGGTCCAGTTACTATCTAAAAAAAATTCATTATATGTAGAACATTCTAATTCACAAACGTATTTTTTTTTAATAACCAATGATATTCATGTTTAAAAAGGATTAACGCACAGTAATAGCATTTTTTATTTTTTAAATTTAAAAATGTTTAGAAAATTCTATACTTTAAATACAAATTTATTTATATAATTATGTTAATATAATAATTTCACGTTGAAATAAACTCTGGTCTTAATAAAATTTCAACCAAGTAAACTGAAGACAACAAACTTTCTTTTAGCATGCTTACTATAAAAATTCTATGAACATTGATTGATTTACTATAAGAAATTGTCGCGTAAACTTTTACATTTTATTAAGTGTAAAATTACTATTATTCAAATTACTGTGACATGTTTGTATAGGAGTATATTTTATGATTGTGATATTAATTACAATTGAATATCTTCTATACTTGTCACAACTATATCACGATCCTATTGTACTTGGTTTTCCTTTTTGATTTGAGTAAAAGTTTGTTTGAAATGAAATAATTATAAAATTATGCATACCGTTTTCGATACTTGAATTTAATATTCGATTTAACTATAATAACATATTTTTCATGTTCAACTTATGTTGTGTTGCTGATCCGTTTAATTTTTGATGATTTAGGTCAAAACCAAGAATTTTAAGCTACCTGATGTCTGTCAAATATTGTCCTTATCTCCTTAAATAAGTTTCAATTACCTGAAGGTAACTCAGGAAATTGTATATCATAGTTACTAGTAACTATGATATATAGTTATATATTTATAGAGATTAAATAATAATTTTAAACGATTGTTTTATATCAACGACAACCTAAAGTTTTATTAATTATCAATATAACGTTTAAAATGTATTAAGATATCTTTTCTATTAGTTATTCGAGTTTCAATCCAATAATTACTAAATTCCAATAAGAATTCCATATAAATTTCATTTTGTTAAAATTTTTTTAAAAATACACTGAACCTAAAGAAGTTTTAATATACAAAAGGGTAATAATTTATTAGTGTGCAAATGTATTATTTCAAAATTGTGAGCTCTCGCTGGACCGATTTTGATGATCTATATATCAAAAGAACCTAAATGTGTACTAGTTGGAAATATCATCTGCAAAATCAACCAAAAATCTTTCATTGTTTTAGGTTTGTATTATAATACTTTTAGTGCTTCACTTATTGATTATAAATAAAAACACTAATTTGTATAACAAAAAAAATGTAGACGGTTTATTGTTTAAACAATAAGAAAATTTATATAAATATTATATTAATGCACTACGTGTACTTAACTACTTAACCGATTAACTGACGACTAGCTAATTAACTGATTGACGTTATTGTTACTTCGCGCCGTTTTATATTGTGTAGAGTTCTAGAAGATTCTCTTATGGAGTGATCGAAAACATTCGCGCGTATATGTATTTTGTGTTGCCTATCCGTCGCGAAGATTCTCGATCATTCCATAGTCACTACACTACTATTGAAGCAAATATAATCGTTATTTTGCCTATTCTGGGATATTTAAATAGTAAGCAACCGAAAAACCATAATCGTACGTTAGGTTATACAGCAACTATAAACCGCCCTTATTAATACAGGCATTATATTATACAGCAAACTATATTAATATGGATAATTGGATGGTGTGGGGAGCTGCACCACTACTTTTTGTACTTAGGTTTTTCATTGGATCTTCATGAATAGTATACCAAAAGGAAGCCTGTTTTCTCTAGTATATTAAAAATTTGAGTAAAAGTTTGTTTGAAATGAAATAATTATAAAATTATGCATACCGTTTTCGATACTTGAATTTAATATTCGATTTAACTATAATAATATATTTTTCATGTTTAACTTAAATTTTAGCTAAAAACAAAATTTCTTTCGGTATGCATAAAATGAAAATTCAATAAAGATCTAGTTTTCCACTATGTAAAAAAAACATATTCAATTTTTTTTTTTGTTTTAAAAATTCTATTTCTTTAATTTTAAACCACTGGGCCTAATAGAAATCCAATGAAGATCTATTATTCCACATGACCAATTGTCCATCAAATTGGAAATTTTTAAGAAAAAAATTTATAAGAAAAATTAGCGTCTAACTTAAAGCCACATTAAGATATAAATAACAAATTGTATGTATATTAATATCATTTCCCCATCTTACCAACAAATTCTAAAGTCGTATCTGTATAACAAATAATTCAAAATTATATACTTTTAGTAATATCAAGTAGATATAAATCAAATTATAACTTACTTGTCATATCTTCAGTCAACATATTAACTAAAAAAAATACAATATATATTAAATTATATATGATCAAAATTTTAAATGTATTTTTTGAATATCTCATGAAAAACCTGCCTAAAAAGAAATTTTTGTGTAAAGAATTTCGCACATTGATAATGTTTTTCATTCTAAGATTTTGGAAAATTGATGGAAATACTGGTATTATTAAATATAGCTAAATATATCCAAAAGAGTAAGATTATTGTAGGCAAACGGAAAATGAGAAGATACTAGTTTTACAATCATTGTAAATTTTTATATATTTTTCCAAGAAAATTCTAAATTGATTTTATAAATTTATGCCTAAAAAAACTGGAGGATTGTGATCTAAAAAAGTATATAAACACTGAATAAATTACGGTTATACCTATTTTGTATACATAAAATAGGTTGAATAGAAATAAGAGATATCTTAATAACAAAAAGCAATACTTTTAAAACATAATTATGTTATTCTCAAACGTTATATTTTTTAATTTTTGAAAGAAAAATTTGCATGTCACATGATTTCAAGTTGCAGTGCATTTGATTTAATGAAGATCTATGTTTTCACATTAGAAATTGGTTGTCTATTTTGTAATTTTTAAGAAAAAAATTTATTATAGAAATTATCGTCTAATTTAAAGCCACATTAAGATCTAAATAACAATTTCTATGTATATAAATATCATTTTCGCCTCTTACCAATATTATCTCTAGCCGCATTGATATCTAAATAATAAATAAATTAGAATAAAATATTTTCAGAATTATCCAGTGCATATAAATCCATTTAATTATTATTTACTTCTTATAGCTTCATGCAAGTCATTAGCTAAAAACCAATACATTTTATATTTATTTTTTTTTGTTAAAAACTTATCTATACAAAATTTTAAATGGATAAACGTAATTTTTTTTTGATAATGTTATCGTAGGCAATCGGAAACTGATAAGGTACTGGTTTCACAATCATATGATTTTTTAATAATATGATATTTATGTTTCAAAAAATACTTTTAATCATGTTTGGTACAAATTGAGATGGGATTACGTTATTTTTCTAAAATAAATACGAGAATATTTAATTGGTACGAGCAAGTCAACGGGTCATACTGTGTACGTTAATGTTTGTCACGTTAGGTATGCCACTGACACCTGACAATAGTTTATTGTTGATCAGCTGCTGTCTTGTTTTACTCATGACAGATTCACCATAAAGGTCTTTGTTACCATTTCACACACTGTGTTACAATTTATTTCAATTTTTACGCAAAATTTGATACCAATCTTTTGATTTATTTTTTTTAGCAATAGAATATCGCCAATATTAGTCTAGAGTGCCGAGCTCATAAAAACGCATCTTAACTTAGCGGCTACCATTGACAAAGTAAAAAAAAAACGGTAGCACAGTGGGGTCGAGGCACAGTATAGACGTGGCATAGATGAGATAAGTATAGATGATATCTGACAGTGATTAAAATCACTATCATAAGAAACGCTTCGATGCAAATCTGTAGATAGTGTTTCCTTTAGAGAAATTGGTGAAATATTTTAAAAGCAACATGAACTCTTATTTCTTTAATTATATCCTGATTAGTAGTTCTTTGATTTTAAAATATAATATATGAATAAATACTAATTATAGTTTTTAAATTTAGTATGAAATTGTGAGGCCAGCTATGATGTATGGTTAATAGTGTTGGGCGGTTGATAAGAAAGTAGAGCAGAGAATAAGTGTAGCAGAGATGAGAATGCTTAGTTGGATGAGTGGAGTGACTAGAGAAGATAGGATAAGGAACGAGCATATAAGAGGAAGTATAGGTGTTGCGTCAATCGTGGATAAGATGACAGAAAATAGACTTAGATTGTTTAGTCATGGTATGAGGAAAGAAGAATCGAAAGCTGTAAGAACAGTTATAGAAATGAATGTTGAAGGAAGAAGAGATAGAGGAAGACCAAAAAAGAGATGGAGGGATGCTATTGAATGCGATTTGAGGACAGCTGATGTGAGCGTAGAAGATGTGGGAGATCGTGTCAAGTGGAAGCTTAGGATAAGGGTGCCCGACCCCAAGTAGTTGGGATTAAGGCAAAGAAAAAGAAAAATATTACCAGATATTCCGGTGGCAATTGACATAATATGATTGTTATTTCGGAATGTACAATTTAGCGTTTAGTTGGGTTTAAATAATATAGCGTCAAATCAATTACCTACTCTATCGGTTGTATCTCAATATACACTACACTTTAATGATACAATAAATAAATAAACTCACACATACACACATATGCATTTATAACATTGTGTCTAATGTAAGTATAACATGATAAAAAGTAACCGTAAAATGAAAAAAATGGAATATAAATTTTATTACTCATATTAAATGTAATGTAACTCGAAAAATATTTGTTTAAATGAAAAAATATAAGATTATATTTTTATTTATAATTGTCTTTTAAACAACTTTTGTGCGAAACTTTTTTTTGTAAGTTAAATATTTTTTTTTGAGAAAATTAAGAAAGCTCATATTTTTGAACTTTTGCGAGGATTTAAAAAAAAAGCTCAATTCCAATCTTGAGGACTATTAGTATGTCATTATACATATTTTAATTCAACTTTTAAAAAAACAAAATTTTTTCCGCAATTTTTCCTTTGTTGACAGGCCTAGATGTCAATTTTAAACTTGTAATTGAGCTAAAAGTTATGGTAATATATTCAATTTATTTTACTATAAACTTTCATAAATCTTTATCAAAAATTTTTCATCAACTTTAAAGAACCAAAAAAATAGGTTAAAATTGAAAATTTGGACTGATTATTTTTAACATATTAAAAATCAAATCAGTAATAATTTGAAAACAAATTTTTTTTTCTTTTAATTATTATTTTATATATATAATTAGTAATAATATAAAAAATTAGAAGTGATAGAAATAGTCTACTTGCAGATTTGAAAACAACGCGAAAATTTGATTTAGAAAAGTATATTTTTGCTTCTGATGAAAGTTCCTTGTAGTCCAGTGCATTTTTTTATAGTAACAAACAGTTTTTATTGAAAATTATTGTATCAAGCCCTTTAAATTTTTATACACGTAAAAGTAAAGCAAAATATAACTTCTTTATTATTTTTATAATTTCTCCGTTTAAATTACAATATTAAATATCAATTTCATACTAAATTTAATAATTATAATTAGTATATATTCATATATTATATTTTAAAATCAAAGAACTACTAATCATGATATAATTAAAGAAATAAGAGTTGATGTTGCTTTTGGAATAATCCACCAATTGCCTAATTAAAACAAAAAAAAAAAAAGTTTGTTGGGAATTTTTTCTGCTATTCTGCAAAATTACTCCTTCGTTGACTAGAATGAATCATTAAATAGAAAATTTTATGAGAATTAAAACAATGTTATTTTTAAGATTAATATGCAGTCAGAAAGTTTTATAATTATTATTTATTGTAAATTTATCAGAAAAACTCATTATTTTTTGCATTTTTATCGTAATAGAACACTTAAATAGAAATCATAGTAATCATTTCTAAGTAATTTTTGATATTTAAAAAGATTCTACTATTGAAATATCCAGAACTGAATTAATTTTAATGATTTACTTTAACTAAAAAAAAAAAAGTTAATATTTTGAATCCCTCTTGTGGGCAGGTAAAGGGTTAGATTTATAAAAAAAACCAAATGATAGATAAAGACATGCATCTAAATAAAAAAAAATATACTGATTTGGTCATTTTTGATAAAGTTATAACAATTAACAAAGTTATAAGTTTTATACACTGGACTACAAGGAACTTCCATCAGAAACAAAAATATACTATTCTAAATCAACTTTTCGCGATGTTTTAAAATGTGCAATTAGACTTTTTCTATAACTTCTAAGTTTTAATATTATTAAAAAATAGTTTTTACATATAAAAAAAAATAATTAAGAACAAAAAAAATTGTTTTAAATTAATACTGATTTGATATAATATTTAATATTAATTTGATTATTAATAAGTTAAAAATAAGGAAAATGACATATTTAACCTATTTTGTTAATCGTTTAAAGTTGATTGTTGTAAATGTTTATAATAAAAAAAAAAAATTTATTTTACCATAACTTTTAGCTCAATTGGTAAGTTTGACATTGACATAATTAAATAGAAAATTTTATGACAATTAAAAAAATTGTATCGTTAAGATCAATATGCAGTCAGAAAGTTTTATAATTACTATTTATTGTAAATTTATCAGAAAAGCTCAATATTTTTTTGCATTTTTATGGTAATAGATAACTTAAATAGAAGTAATAGTAATAATTTCCTAGGAACTTTTGTTGTTTGTTGAAAAGATTCTATAATTGAAATATTGAGAACTTAATTAATTTTAATGATTTACTTTAACTAAATGTACCAATCAAAACAAAGTTGTTAAAAAGATTTACTCAATTGAGTGTATTATAAAATTTGATTATATTTGTAAAAATCAATTGTTAATTCAGGAGAAAAAACAATCATTTTTTTTAGAAATGATTTATATAGCAACATGTTACAAAAAAAAATTGTAATATTATAGTCTAGTAGTAGCACACACAAATAGAGTAAAAAAATTATTAAATTACAAAGTAAAATGATTTAATTTTGTAGTTGAAACCTATCATATCAAACTTCATTCGTTAATAAATATTTTGAAAACATTAGAAATTAATGATTTTAATTGTCTTTATGGAGACGATGTAATAACTAACTGTTTAATTGATAAATTAGAATTTTTTTTTCAATTTTTGAGAGTAATATCTTCAACTAGATACGAATTGTAGTAATTTGACGTATTGTTGAAAAAAGTAGGTCAAGTTAGAGCAGAGAAAATAAATGATAGTCACAAAAAAATATCTTCTCGGCTTTGCATCGAAGCGAAAACTTAAAATATAGTAAAATAATTTTAATACGAATAAGAAATTTCTTCTTGCAAGGGGCGACTAAAGTGATGGGATCCTTGATCTTTATTGAAGTTATTGAATCTAAATGTGATAAAAATCAAACGAGTTAAAATTTATACTAACTTAAAAAGAATTAAGAAAAAATGCAAAAAATTCATTGCCATATGCGGGTTGGAACCTCGTACCCCAAGCGTGTAAAACATAATTTTACCAATTTGGCAACCGTACGTTGCTATCCGGCGGTTGAAAAATTGGCTATTTAAGCTAGTTCAAATTTCAAAGTTATTTTTCTCGACTTAAAAGAAACAAACATATTTAAATAAGTTTAACTATCTATACTATATCAATTTTAATTTATATAATATTTATGAAAATCTGTACTCCCCTTGTCAGGTATTTTAAAATAAAATAAAATACAAAACCCAGAATTTTAACACAAAAATAGCATATTTTTGCATACGGTAGTCATTTTCACCATGAAGACAAGTCCAGAGGTCAAATTTTTTTTTTTCAAATTAAAGTATATTACATTAGCTTTAATTTAAGGTATATATAAAATTGTCAGTCTTTCCGGAACATTTTCAAAAGTTAAGTTGAAAAAGTTAATTTTTTGTAAAAAAGTTACCATTTTGAAACCCCATCCTTTGGGCTGTTAAAGGGTCAAATGTTCACAAAAATATATAAAATGATAGGTAATTATCTAAGGTATCTATAAAAAAAAAAATTATATTGATTCGATCATTTTTAAAAAAGTTATGGCAATTTTAAGTAAAAAAAATTGAAAAAATATCGAAAATTAGCGATTTTTAAATTTGTAATTTTTTGGGGGATTTCCCCCGTTTACGGGGAACGAGGGAATTTTTTTCAATTTTTGAGGGTAATGTCTTCGACTAGATACGATTTGTGATCTTTTGACATATTGTTCATCAAAATCGGTCCAGCGAGAGCTGAGATTGAGCGTTCACAGACACAAAAAAAAAAATAAAAAATTAAAAAAAAAACACATCATAGTAAAATTAATACCTTCTCAGCTTCGCATCGAAGCTAAAATTAATCCAGCTGAAAATTTTATCATACTTTAGGGACATGAGTACCAACATTATATAAAAAAAAGTAATGATAATCGTATTTTCCAACCCGCAAGATTTAATAAATCCCGTTATTTTCTGAAAACACCTTATATAATATAAGGCTCAAATACCAAATTTTAGAGTTTTCCTTTCCTTTTACAAATGTGAGCTCATATTATTCATTAGTTAAAATATAAGTTTACTAATCTCTAATCGCCGATACTAAAGATAAAAATATAATCGGCATTGAACAATTTAGTTTAATCAATCAGCACCAAATATTTAAAAGAACTCTGTTCAATTTACAACATTTTATTAAATATTTCACTATTTATTATTTATTACTATACTACTGTAAAAATACACCATATTCAATTTTTTTTTTAGTTTTAAAAATGCTATTTCTTTAATTTTAAACCACTGGTCCAAATAAAAAAACAATGAGGATCTATTTTTCCACATGACCAATTGCTCATCAAATTGGAAAATTTTAAGCAAAAAATTTATTGAAAAATTAGCGTCTAACTTAAAACAACGTTAAGATATAAATAATAAATTGTATGTATATTAATATCATTTCCCCTTCTTACCAGTATAAACTGAAGTCGTATTGGTATCTAAATAACAAATAAGTCAAAATAATATACTTTTAATAATATCAAGTGGATATAAATCAAATTGTAATTTACTTCTCATAGCTTCGGACAACATATTAACTAAAAAAAATACAATATATATTAAATTTTATATGTTCAAAATTTTAAATGTTTATATGTATTCTTTGAATATCTCATGAAAAAACTGCCTAAAAAGTAATTTTTGTATAAAGAATTTTGTACAATGATAACGTTTTTTCATTCATAGATATTGAAAAATTTTCGGAAATACTGGCATTATTAAATATAGCTAAATTAGTTCAAATGGGCAGGATTGTCGTAAGCAAACGGAAAATTTGAAGGTATTGGTTCTAGAATCATGTGATTTTTTTAATATTTTCCATGAAAATTCTAGACTAATTTTGATAATTTATGCTTCAAAAAAAATATTATTACTGTATCAGCACGATAAAATCTCCATTCAGTTGTAAACTTATTATAAAATATTTCAAAACTATACTACAATAAAGAATAGTATATTCAAATATTGTTTCTGAGTTAAAATTGCTATAAAATTATTTTTAAAACTCTGGTTTTAATAAAATTTCAACCAAGTAAACTGAAGACAACAAACTTTCTTTTAGCATGCTTACTATAAAAATTCTATGAACATTGATTGATTTACTATAAGAAATTGTCGCGTAAACTTTTACATTTTATTAAGTGTAAAATTACTATTATTCAAATTACTGTGACATGTTTGTATAGGAGTATATTTTATGATTGTGATATTAATTACAATTGAATATCTTCTATACTTGTCACAACTATATCACGATCCTATTGTACTTGGTTTTCCTTTTTGATTTGAGTAAAAGTTTGTTTGAAATGAAATAATTATAAAATTATGCATACCGTTTTCGATACTTGAATTTAATATTCGATTTAACTATAATAACATATTTTTCATGTTCAACTTATGTTGTGTTGCTGATCCGTTTAATTTTTGATGATTTAGGTCAAAACCAAGAATTTTAAGCTACCTGATGTCTGTCAAATATTGTCCTTATCTCCTTAAATAAGTTTCAATTACCTGAAGGTAACTCAGGAAATTGTATATCATAGTTACTAGTAAGAGATTAAATAATAATTTTAAACGATTGTTTTATATCAACGACAACCTAAAGTTTTATTAATTATCAATATAACGTTTAAAATGTATTAAGATATCTTTTCTATTAGTTATTCGAGTTTCAATCCAATAATTACTAAATTCCAATAAGAATTCCATATAAATTTCATTTTGTTAAAATTTTTTTAAAAATACACTGAACCTAAAGAAGTTTTAATATACAAAAGGGTAATAATTTATTAGTGTGCAAATGTATTATTTCAAAATTGTGAGCTCTCGCTGGACCGATTTTGATGATCTATATATCAAAAGAACCTAAATGTGTACTAGTTGGAAATATCATCTGCAAAATCAACCAAAAATCTTTCATTGTTTTAGGTTTGTATTATAATACTTTTAGTGCTTCACTTATTGATTATAAATAAAAACACTAATTTGTATAACAAAAAAAATGTAGACGGTTTATTGTTTAAACAATAAGAAAATTTATATAAATATTATATTAATGCACTACGTGTACTTAACTACTTAACCGATTAACTGACGACTAGCTAATTAACTGATTGACGTTATTGTTACTTCGCGCCGTTTTATATTGTGTAGAGTTCTAGAAGATTCTCTTATGGAGTGATCGAAAACATTCGCGCGTATATGTATTTTGTGTTGCCTATCCGTCGCGAAGATTCTCGATCATTCCATAGTCACTACACTACTATTGAAGCAAATATAATCGTTATTTTGCCTATTCTGGGATATTTAAATAGTAAGCAACCGAAAAACCATAATCGTACGTTAGGTTATACAGCAACTATAAACCGCCCTTATTAATACAGGCATTATATTATACAGCAAACTATATTAATATGGATAATTGGATGGTGTGGGGAGCTGCACCACTACTTTTTGTACTTAGGTTTTTCATTGGATCTTCATGAATAGTATACCAAAAGGAAGCCTGTTTTCTCTAGTATATTAAAAATTCATTATAATGAGTAATAATAAATAATAATAAAAAAATATATATCGCGACAAAGCTATTCTTTTTTTAAACATAAATACATTCAAAAACTAAAATATTCCATACAATAAAATTTGTCAAACATCCCGGACAAATTTTTAAAAATTGAAAATTAAAGATTAAAAAGAAAGTATTATATACTCTTTAAAGTTATTTAGTTAAATGCTTACCCAAAACTTGAGATCCACTATCTAAACAAGTATATAAAATAAACTGAATTAGCTAACTTCATTCCTATTCTGAATACTAAAATAGATTGAAAGAAGTAGAATATATAATAAAAACGAAAAAACAACACTTTTAAATAATAAATTGGTAATTCTCAAACATTATATTATTAAATTTTATATAGGAATTTAGCCTCGAACTTAATATCATACAAAGATCTAAATAACAAATTCTATGTTAATTAATAACATTTTCCCTTCTTACCATTGTTATCCGTAGTCGTATTGATATCTAAATAATAAAATATTTTTAATATTATGAAGTTCATATAAATCCATTAAATTATCATTTACTTCTTATAGCTTCGCTCATGTGATTAGCTAAAACAAATACATTTTATGTTTATTTTTTAGCTTATAGTTTCAAAATTTTAAATAAATAAATGTATTTTTTGAATATCTCATGATAAACCTGCCTAAAAATTAGTTTTTGTGTAAAGAATTTTGCGCACTGATAAGGTTTTCATTCTTTGATTTTGAACTATTTTCGGAAATGCTGGTATTTATAAATATAGCTAAATCTGTCTAAGCGGATAGGATTATCGTAGGTAAACGGAAAATGAGAAGGTACTGGTTTCATAATGATGTAATTTTTTTTAATATTTTCCAATGAAAATTCTAGATTAAAGCGATAATATATTCTTCAAAAAATATAAATCTATCAACACATAAAATTTGAAAATATTCATTCAATTTTAAACATTTTATAAAGTGTATAAAATGTACTCTACTGTAAAATATTTAAATTACTTTTTTTTCATTTTAAATTTTTTATAACTACATTTTTTATTGTCTGGTCCTAATAAATTTTTGACATATGATAATAAACTTTTCTTTTGTATACTTAGTATGCAACATTGGCTGTCAAATTGGAAATTTGACAGCCAAAAAATTCATAATAAAAATTAGCATCACACATAAAACCATACCAAGATCTAAATAACAAATTCTATGTTTATTAATATCATTTCCTTATCTTACCAGTTAAACCTGAAGTCGTATTGATATCTAAACCACAAATAAGTCAAAATAATATACTTTTAGTAATATCAAGTTGATATAAATCGAATTATAATTTACTTCTCATAACTTCGGACAAGATATTTACTGAAAAAAATAAAATATATATTTAATTTTATAGGTACTTTTATAAGATAAAAATTTTAAATTTTTAACGTGATGTTCATTTTTATATTTTGAAGAATATTCGCAAATATTGTCATTATTAAATATAGCTATATCTATCTAAATGGGTAGGATTATCGTAGAGAAATTTTTTTTTTTAGAAAGTACTGGTTTCATCTTCTGTTTTTTTTTTAATATTTGTCCATGAAAATTCTAGACTGATTTTGTAAATTTATGCTTCAAAATAATAAGAGAATAAGTATAAGTATATATGCACAATTATATAAACACTAAATGAGCTATATTTAAACCTATTCTATATATATAGAATAGGATAAATGAATTGCGATATCTATTAATAATTTAAAACAATACATTTAAAACATAGATACGTTATTCTCAAATGTTATATTTTTAAATATTATGTAGAAAAAAGCAGTCTATAACTTAAAGTGATTATATATCTAAATAACAAATTCTATATATATTAAATACATTTTCCCCTCTTACCAAGAATATCTGAAATCATATGGACATCTAAATAAGAAATAAGATAAAATAAAATATTATCCAGTGATTATAAATCAATTAAATTATTACTTACTCCTTATAGCTTCATTCAAATTATCAGCTAAAAACAAAACATTTTATGTTTTTTTTACAAACTTATATGTTCAAAATTTTTTTAATCCAAAAAAAAAATGTTTATTCTAGTTTAATCAATCACCACCAAAAATTTGAAAAACTTCATTTAATTAAAATTGTTTATAAAATACTTTAAAACTATTCTACTATAAAAAAGCATATTCAAATTTTTTTTTTTTTCATTTCAAAGTTACTATAACTCTATTTTTAAATCTCTAGTTCTAATAAAATTTTAACCAAGTAAACTTAAAATAATAAACTTTCCTGTTTCTTATTTATTGTTAATTAACTGACATACTTAGAAATAAATGATGATTTATAATAACTTTACAATTAAATCATCGAAGGAAAAATTTTTTTACATTCGTGTTTCGATTGAATTAAATACGCTTAGCGTTCAATAAAAATACATAATTTTTTTGTTTAGATTGTTAAAATACTAGTAGTAATTCCTATACACCATATAATATATAATATATTAATATCCAGTGGTATAAATCAATAAAATTATTATTTACTTCTCAAAATTGTAAGCCAATCATTAGCTAAAAAAAAGAAAAATTATGTTTAATTTTTTTTGTAGAAACTTATATGAATGAAATTTTTTTGATTTTCCATCACAAAGCTCCTCTAAAAGTAATTTTTGTACAGAAATTTCTGTGATTATTAAGGTTTCTTTAGTCAAGCACTTACGTGTATCTTGAAAAGTCATATTGTCATCTAAATAAAAGTATAAATCTTGAATTAGCGTTGTTCAATCATATCCTATATATGTTAATTCTATTTTTCATGATTAAACATATTGTTTATTGTCAGTTATGACTTAAAAAATTGATATGCTTAAACTATATTAGTTTTAAAGTATAATCTGGACAAAAGTATTTTTATGAGTTACAATGGATATATTAACTGGATGTATCATAATTGATTAGCTTAGAAATAATTTAATCTAATTAATATTTATAATTACTTGTATCATTTGAGGACGAGTCACTATCTACAAAAAAAAAAGAAAAATACATCATATGTAGAATTTTTTAACTGCATGAACAAATTTTTTTTAAATAACCAATGATATTCATATTTAAAAAGGATTAATGTACATTAATAACATTTATTATTTTTTAAATTTAAAAATGTTTTGAAAATTCTGACATCTATAAATACAGATTTATAACTTTAGAGTTTAAAACTTTAATACACACTCAGTGTAATCTTGACAAGTATTGAAAAATTGTCAAAAAATAAAACAATCATTATTTATTAGTATTAGTGTCAGTATTACTATCAGTGGCTGTATGTACGCAGCGTTCGGTGGTATTCACGCGGGTTGGTTAACGTTCGTGGTTTTATTTTGTCTTAAGCTATGTCAAGGATAAGGAATAAGGAGAGTGGACTGTATGTTTGAATGTAGAATGAGTTTTACAAGATATAATTATAACAATCTATTGTATTATACAAGAAATATAAAATCTTATATAAACCAATGTGGATAGGGGGTACACTTAATACTAATGCCACTAAGGCTATGATATAAACAAATAATATATTATATAAGTGAGTCTTAGATAGATAAATGAACAAGAATTATACTTATCTGCTAAATGCAACGGCTGATGATAATTATGAATATTGAAAGGATTAATTGAAGTCGAATGCAAGTAGCTGACCAACGTGTATAATATACTGTTAACGGTATTGTGATGTATTTCAAAATATATATAGACCCAACGGCGATAAACTTATCGCACAGGTTACGAAAATCTCAAAGGTGATATTTTCTTTTACAGTAAGACAAATATAAAACTACTGGCTCGCAAACGTCATAGAGCTTATAGCAGAAGAAGCGTTAAGTTGGGGGCAAAAATACTGACATATAGAGAAGACCGACAACAACTTGATGTAACACAACTATAACATGAATATTCAACTACACATTTTCTTGACATCATATTCGACCGATGTGTACCCAACAGTGGCTATAACTTCATAATATTTTATTAAATTCTGTTGTAACCTCATCATCCATAAAGGAATATATCGTAAATTGCAAGTAATAATATATGTTTTTATATAATAAAATTTTCATTTTTTTTATGAAAAAAATAATAAGTAAAATTTTTAACTTTATAATTTATATAGAATAATATTTCAGTGCCATCCTTGAAAACTGCCACCCAAAGTATTCCCACTCAATATCTCCCTAAATACGGCCATGGACAAAATGCTATGATTTTATATGTAAAAAATACCAATTGACAATTCAAAAAGCATATCTCTCGTATATAGTAAATTAGTTACCTGTATTTGTAAATTGTAACTTATGTATTTTAACTCAAAAATTCAGAAAATCTAATAATATTATTTTAACAAAAATAATTAACTATAAATAATATATAAAATTAATTTGCTATTCTTAAGTTAAAAATAAATTATTTTAAAATTTATCTTTATATTTTTAAATACTATTAATATACCTTCTTGATAGTCAGGGTTATCGTATTCTTCATTGCATAAAGGACAACGGTAGATTCTCTTATCGATTTTCCAATTATCTATACAACCTTTGCAAAATTTATGTGGACAGTGTCCTATACGTGTATCTGGAATATTTGCTAAACAGACAGAACATGTCTCTAAAAGCGAAAAATTAAATAAATTATTTGAAACAATAACAAATTTTTCTATACCAAATACAAAGTACAAAAAATCTTTTTGGAAACACTCTGTTAACTCAACTACACAATGCCTCAATCAGACAAAAAGTTTTACTTGGATTATTTATAACAAATTTTTATTAAATTCCAAATTAATTTTTAATAAAATAAAAAGTTAATTAAGTTTTAACCTACCATTTGCATTTTGGTCATTGCCTTGAATATCTATGTTTTAAAAATACATATCGTTTAATAATAGATTTAATAAGACTATTATTTATAAGATATCATATATTTCATATTGCATGTTGAGTATTACAACACCACAACATATAAAAATAAATCGTATTATAAAAACTATACTAAAGTTGTGACTATGTACAACACCTGGACACATGTCTCCAGAGCAAAAACATTTACTGAAATATCTAAACTTTCACTGAAGTAAAAACCGCTGAACAACGTGGTCCCTAATTACTTTACTCTAAGAAACATGAATATTAATCATTGAAAAATATAATAATTTTATAAAAAAAAATACTGTGAAATTCACATTTCTAAATATTAACACGCTTATATTAGTTTCACCTGTATGTATGTTTGTATGTATGTATGTTTGTAACTTTTCACTCACCACTCGTTATCGCATATTCCGTCGTCTATGGCCTTGAGACTAGACTGCCATAACGCATTCACCCTACCCCACGCCTCGCTCACCCCACGACGACTACACTATTCCTGTATAAATTTATTTTTAGTTATCGTACCCGTACACGCGTGCTTGTCATCAATATTATATATATATAAACAAATCTTTATTTTGACTGACCAATACCATCCGCGTATCATACGTCTTACGTATTTATTCCTACCGCCGTTTATACCTCAGGTATAGCGTNAACTTATGTATTTTAACTCAAAAATTCAGAAAATCTAATAATATTATTTTAACAAAAATAATTAACTATAAATAATATATAAAATTAATTTGCTATTCTTAAGTTAAAAATAAATTATTTTAAAATTTATCTTTATATTTTTAAATACTATTAATATACCTTCTTGATAGTCAGGGTTATCGTATTCTTCATTGCATAAAGGACAACGGTAGATTCTCTTATCGATTTTCCAATTATCTATACAACCTTTGCAAAATTTATGTGGACAAATTCCTATACGTGTATCTGGAATATTTGCTAAACAGACAGAACATGTCTCTAAAAGCGAAAAATTAAATAAATTATTTGAAACAATAACAAATTTTTCTATACCAAATACAAAGTACAAAAAATCTTTTTGGAAACACTCTGTTAACTCAACTACACAATGCCTCAATCAGACAAAAAGTTTTACTTGGATTATTTATAACAAATTTTTATTAAATTCCAAATTAATTTTTAATAAAATAAAAAGTTAATTAAGTTTTAACCTACCATTTGCATTTTGGTCATTGCCTTGAATATCTATGTTTTAAAAATACATATCGTTTAATAATAGATTTAATAAGACTATTATTTATAAGATATCATATATTTCATATTGCATGTTGAGTATTACAACACCACAACATATAAAAATAAATCGTATTATAAAAACTATACTAAAGTTGTGACTATGTACAACACCTGGACACATGTCTCCAGAGCAAAAACATTTACTGAAATATCTAAACTTTCACTGAAGTAAAAACCGCTGAACAACGTGGTCCCTAATTACTTTACTCTAAGAAACATGAATATTAATCATTGAAAAATATAATAATTTTATAAAAAAAAATACTGTGAAATTCACATTTCTAAATATTAACACGCTTATATTAGTTTCACCTGTATGTATGTTTGTATGTATGTATGTTTGTAACTTTTCACTCACCACTCGTTATCGCATATTCCGTCGTCTATGGCCTTGAGACTAGACTGCCATAACGCATTCACCCTACCCCACGCCTCGCTCACCCCACGACGACTACACTATTCCTGTATAAATTTATTTTTAGTTATCGTACCCGTACACGCGTGCTTGTCATCAATATTATATATATATAAACAAATCTTTATTTTGACTGACCAATACCATCCGCGTATCATACGTCTTACGTATTTATTCCTACCGCCGTTTATACCTCAGGTATAGCGTTAGTCCGACCCGCCCGCCCACAAAACACGGCTATACCTAGTGCATGATACGTTTACGTACTTGAATCGCTTTACTTGTATATATATATATATTCTAATTACTATTAAAGTTTATTTATTAACACGCTTTATTTTAATTAAGAGATATAAAGTATTCATTCCGATTACTAGGGATGATTTACGTATCGTCATTTTTCGTCACTATTTCCACGTTCCGGGAGTGAGTAATTTACGCGCCTGCTGCTTTCCTTGAATGTGGTAGCCGTTTCTCAGACTCCCTCCCCGGAATCGAACCCTGATTCCCCTTTACCCGTAACCACCAAGATATTGATGTAACTACTATCATAACATGAAACTAAATGTGAAAAATAAATATAGTTTAAAAAAACTAAAAAACACGCTTTTAAAGCACATCGAACTAAAAAGTTAAAAATTATTTTATAATATAACTTTTGTTCGATAAAGTAAAATTCGACATATTTTTAACGGAGTTTTGTGACTGAGTACTTTCGTTGAAAAAAAAAGTTCATTCTATCACATTTTGGTATATTGCCGCAAATATTGAGGATTAAGAATTGTTTGTCAAGAGGGAGGAAATATGGGAAGCCTAAGTAACACTTAGTCTTAATTAATCTAAGTGTTATTGAAGAAGAATTTTAACAGAAATATATTTTTATTTAATTTATATTAACCATCTTTATTAAATTCTTAGTAGGGTGAAATAGAGAGTTCTAGGCCCTCTCCGCTTCACCCACCCGCCCCACCACCGTGGTAATGGGAAGAGGGGTGGAGGGGGGGAATAAATCCAACGTAAACTAACATAATGCAATGGGAGGGGGAAAGATGATGTAACCCAACGTAAACTAACCTAAGAAGAACCTCCTCTGACAAGTCTTAGGGTGGGGGAAGTAAATCCAACGTAAACTAACCTAAGTCAGGTGAGGAACCTCTCCTCCTCTACCAAGTCTTAGGGTGGAGGAAGTGAATCCAACGTAAACTAACATAATACAATGGGAGGGGGAACGATGATGTAACCCAACGTAAACTAACCTAAGAAGAACCTCTCCTCCTCCTCCAAGTCTTATGAGAGAAGGATAATGTAACTTAAGGTAAACAAACCTATAGGAGGAGGGGGGATGAAACACGACGTAAACTAACACAACCTGTCACGCG